TATATTCCAGCTATATGGCGGCGCTCTGTAAATAGTCGAGTCTGGGCCAGACAAGCCAGTGATCAATGACATGTGTCAACAACTCAGTGAGCCTGACCACCCGATCCCGTTAGTCGCCTCTAACGACAAGCATGGGTTACTGATTTTAACCCGGATCTCCACGGTTCCCCAGTTTTGTAGTCATGAACTTATTTGTGACTGGCCTACATATATCATGTTCCTTTTCTCTACACACACTCATGTCATGAGGTATAGCTTCACACACTGGGGTTTCTAGATGTCAAAGGGTATCAGAAAAACAACATGTTCTTCACAGGCGGTGTAGAAGTAGAAATACATAAATACATATAGCAGTAAATGTAGCATTAATCCTTAATTGGGTTCCAACAGTTTCCACGGCAAGTCCCAGTAGCACTGATGGTACAGCTGTCACTACTTCAGTAAAACCTACATCGGATGAATCAATTAATGTTCTGGTCGACAGGCGGCCATTGTGAGTCTGTTTTGTCAGCATTTATTTAAAGATGAGTTAATGGCTCCATCAACTGGTATATTAAACACCAGGTAATGACCATATGTCTACAATGTTGTTTTAGCGTATATGTGATCACAGTGACGGAACAAACTCTTAATAAATATATATGCAATGATCTTATCTTTTACGAATTATCACTCTACACAATAACGCCGTTTTGCTATTTAATAATAGTGTTGTGAATGACAGGGTCCTGAGCCACATATAGTGACCATGGATGACCTACTTTTGAAAAACGGGTTGTTTAATGCCGAACTCAGCAATAGTCCAACTTTAAGAACCTGCAAACAATCGAATCTGGACCAGACAATCCAGTGATCAATATCTGACCACAAATGACCACATTAACCTACATTTGTATAACGAGGGTGTTTGTTGTTTAACGCCGCACTCAGCAATAGTCCATCCTTAAGACGGCGGCCTGTTAACAATCGAATCTGGACCAGACAATCCAGTGATCAACATCTGACCACGGATGACCACATTAACCTACTACAGTCCCATGGTTGATAATATCAGCATCGATCAACGAAAATGGATACGATGGCATGCATCAACCAATCTGTAGACCGACCACCCGATCACGTTTGTCGTTTCTTTCGACAAGAATGTGAAAAAGAAATGCATTACCCTATTAGTTTCTGTTATCAATGAACTATTACTGATTAAAATATATTATTATGTATAAATTTCATACCTGAAGAGTGATTTCTCCGCCGGGAAGACATATAGTTGGACAGAATGTTGTGCATGTCGCACGTGCTCACTATCAGCGCAGCGCCAATTCATAGATAATTTGCAAATAATAATGTCTAATAACGCAAACCACTCAGCAAATAACGAACTTTCTTAGCTTTTAAAACAAAGACATGGGCTACTCTGTTACTATTTCCAAATGAAAATGTCTGGAAACAAATCTGGGCTGGATCAAGCCCCTGCCGTCTAACCTATAAACAGCTAAGATCAGTGGTACATAGACAGTGAGTACAACTAAAGCTCAGTAACAATATACATTCATATTGTCCTAAGTTCAGAACACATAGTTTGTTTGATGAAGTCCAGTTCTCACCCACAGGCCCTCGTGTCTTTGCGAGGATTAAAGATTAACATTTTTCTAGATGACCCCGACTCGAAATGCTTTCACAGGACAATACATCATGATTTATTGCACTGTGAAGCATTTCGAGTCGGGGGTCATCTCAATGGGGTTTTTTAATATTTTTTTAAATATTTAATCCTCGCAAATACACCAGGTCCTGTGTTCTCACCCGGATCAAAGGTTACGCTGACTTCATGACTTGTACATCGATAACTTGGACCTTACATTACATATTCTCCTGCTAAATCTGGTTATCTTTCAAAGAGGCGTTCAATACAAATCACTCACTCATAATAAAGGGAATCGATAGCATTACAAGCCCACTGTGTCCGCCAGCTTTGTATTGCTGTACAACATGTGCGAGATTTATTGGACGGAATCGCACAGGGTGGATTTATGCCCCTTTCCCACACAGCAACACTGTCACGATAAAACACTTACACACAGTTATCAGAAACCGGCACACGTCCCAACCAGCCAGTAACACATACAAAAACATATATAATACGTACATATATCATTCGTCCTGCTTCCCCTAAGACCCGAGCTGCACAAATCAAACTGTCACGATGAAAAACTACCATGCAATAGCTGAAAACGGCATACGTCCGAACCAGTAAGTCACAAACATCAAAAGTACTACTTGCAATACTGTGATGAATGCCTCGGTGCCTCTGCTATATCCAAGGAAACGTCCAATCAGCCAATAGAGGGTAATTATTGACTAAATGGATGACTAGCGTGTGATTAACTTATTGGTGATCTTTAACAGTAGTTCTCACTCAGAGTGACGGTTTCCCCAATGGGACAGCTCCGTTTGATTGACGGGTCTGAACTTCAAGGGACTCATAAACAGATATTTATCACGGAGTTAACGAGTTAATTAACACATAACATTTACATACCGTATCTGCTGACGACATTAATGCAATTTCATGTATATAAACATGTCTGTAAATAACACGTGGTATTCTACAACAGGCTGTTAGTTAACTATCACAACACATTTGAAAAGAATGTATACTGATCTTGCTTGCATAAATAAGTTAAATGAATTTTATTTTACAAACTAATTCGCATTGTTCAGTTAATTGCACAGATCGATGCCCATATTGCTAATCACTGGATTGTCTGGTCCAGCCTCGAATAGCCCCACACCACCGTCATATAACTGAAATATTGTTGAGTGCATCAAACTAACAAACTACCGGTAAATAGCAGAAACGGTAAATAGGGGGCAAAATGGCTTTAAGTTGTATACATGAGTGGGTCTTGCTGGCTGGCTACTTGCCTGTGATTGTGTCTATTTCTCTGTCTGATGACACACATGATCACATGGAGGCGATAAACAAACAGCATATGCAACGTCTGTCCCTCCTCTTTCCCCCTCTGTCTGTCTGTATGCATGTCTGCCCTCTCTCTCTCTCTCTCTCTCTCTCTCCTCTCTCTCTCTCTCTCTCTCTCTCTCTCTCTCTCTCTCTCTGGCACTCTCTCTCTGGCTCTCTCTCTGGCTCTCTCTCTGTCTCTCTCTCTCTCTCTCTCTCTCTCTCTCTCTCTCTCTCTCTCTCTCTCTCTCTCTCTCTCTCTCTCTCTCTCTCTCTCTCTCTCTCTCTCTCTCTCTCTCTCTCTCTCTCTCCATAACACACCAGTCTGGCACTCCAATATCATAGCACCATTGTCCCATTAATATAATTGTACAGGTAGACACTACATCAAGCGGCGTTGTGGCAGCACACTCTACTTTGTATAATTGCACCCCTGGTGCCGGGAGTCAGTCTACAGACGGAAATATATGACGTATGATTGGTCACGTTGGCAGTGACCATGGTTGCAGATTGACACAGATGTTCCACAATGACCGATGGTGTGCAAGATAATATGAAACATGTATGGCGTATGTCCCTATGTTTGCACGACAGCTGATACAGGGAAGCTATTGTTCTACTTTCATCCATTATACAGACAATGATATTTTCCCACTCAACCGCAAGGCGAGAAATAAAACAATTAATAAAGTTGTTTGTTTAGTATGATCAGATTGCCTGCGAGTAGCGTTGCCGACCGGCAATAAACAAAGTCCCCAACAACCCTACAAACACTGCTACACCTAGGGTAGAACAACACGGAAGTGTATCAGAGGGAGGTTCAGTAAGCACCCGGTGAGTAATTATCTGTGGTATCAAGATGGCCGTACCTTGTGGTAATTCCTGGTGGGGGTCGACTGCCCCAAGAAACCTATGTTTGCTATAGTGGCGACCTTCCGAGGTGGTCAGGCTCGTAGGCTTGGTTGATTGCGTGGCATGGCACCCCGACATCGTGGGCTATTACACACGATACATAGCACTGTTAAGTCAGGCCTATACTCCTACTTACCATCGTGTGAGAAGCAGTTTGTTATTTGAGGTCGGTACCTTTGGTCATTGTATAATTACCGTAGATCATGTTACAGACGCCCATCTCATCTCTCTCTCTCTCTCTCTCTCTCTCTCTCTCTCTCTCTCTCTCTCTCTCTCTCTCTCTCACACACACACACACACTCTCTCTCTCTCTCTCTCTCTCTCACACACACACACACACACACACACAGAGAGAGAGAGTCCTCACATATATTTCCATGGACAAATATATAACACTCTTAGCGAGTGAGTGAGTTTAGTTTTACACCGCTTTTAGCAATGTTCCAGCAAAATCACGTCGGGGAACACCAAAAATGGGTTTCACACATTGTACCCATGCATGTGGAGAATCGAACCCGGGTCTTCGGGGTGACGAGGGAAAGACTTTAACCACTAGATTACCCCACCGCCCAATAATCACTCTTACATACACGTGGGCGCAAATAGTCATATAGCCACAAGCATATACCCATAGACACTCACAGACAATACACAAATAGACACCCACATTATACTCACAGACACACACACCCAGACACTGATGAATACACACAGACACGTGCATACACAGACTAATCTTACAAGCGATGACATACATGGTCCTGAATACTGACTATATGTGAATACAAACAGATGTGTCTGTTTCGTAACTGTGAGTGTTTACACTAGCACGCATGTTTCAATGCCAGGGATTTATGCTTGATGTAATCATTAAATGTGGCTATCATATATTTAATGCCTGATTCGTATTCTGGACCAGTAAATGCATATCGGGCTTGCACAATAATCCTTAGAGGAATAAACATGGAATTCTCATTAGTATGCATCATACAAGTATAATGAAAGTGTGGAAATAAATCGACATACAGTTCCGTGGGGACAGCATCCCCCTGTGGGCTGTCAACAGCTGCATTAGTTGCGAGGAATGTACACAACAATACCTAGAAGCGTGAAGGTCTGTAATAGTAAAACAAAATGCAGCTCATAAAAAATAGAGAATCAGCCTGAAAAGACAGCCCCTTAGCGAAAACAATTAAACGAATGTAATTATTTGTGGACCGCAATGCCCCAATGCTGAATATCCGAAGCACGGTTGGAACATCGACAGCGTTGCCGTTGTTAATTGCCGACGAGCACAGATAAAGGTACGGCAGCGTTATTCTGTGTCCAGACGCTAACTGCACCATGTGTTCTCACAGGAAGAGGAATCGATAGTTTAATATGTCTCTGATTCCCTCCTCGGTTTGAACGCTGAGATCAACACGTGAAGCGAGAGAGGTTAACTTTTTGGACGCTGCGGTCGGAATTTATCGCCCGGTGAAAGGGATTCAGATATATGTGAACGCCGGTTTGTGTAGAGGAAGAATGCGGATTTGCGATAAAGCAACTCTACTGTAACGTGAAGGCATGACAAGTTGGAATGTTACAGGGACGAACGTGATTCGAACCAGGTAGGTACAAAAATCAGTTTGTTTCTGTGATCAAGGGGTACATCTCCATGTACCACTGTTCTTTAAAGGCTTGCGTAACATGTGACAGAATACATCACATTCAGTGTTAAACACGCACATCCATGAATGTCTTCATTGTATCATATACATAGGGTGTTTATCATTTATCACTTAAATATAATCCTGCCTTTTGAGTTATGAACGTGTAGAAATATCTCATAATCGTCGCTGGACGTGAATGACCTCTTTAACAATGTTTTGCATTCCTGTTAAATGGTGCCCATGAATGGTTCTGATTAATGTTACCAGTTGTGATGTCGACACGGCATTTAGAGGTTTCATAGATCAAGCGTTATAGGAGCTTCGTTATTTGCTAACTGAAGTATATATGATGTGTGAGAAAAGATAACATTGCAGAAATACATCATGATAACCCAGATTTGAGTCTGTGGGACTGATTGTTCAATGAGCATAGTGGTGTACCACAAGCTTGTAGATCTGTCCACCATAGATTAACATGTCGACTCGCAGGGTGTTTATCAAGAAGATGTCGTAACGAGGACATGTATCAGTCTGTCTGTTTGTCTGTCTGCATTTCCGTTTGTGTGTCTGTTTTTCTGTCTATCTGTCCCGATTTGTTTTCTGATCGTTAGTCTTTCTGTGATTCTATCTGAGGGTTTCCGTCCTCATTCAGCCATGAATCTGTATGTGAGTGTGTTTGTCTGTCTTAGACTATCTGTCTTTCTCTATACATATTTGCACTAAATTACCTGTCTACATAATACATAATTATCCTCATCTATTACAACGTGTATTCATAGACGTTTCGTTTCTATCGTCTATCCTTTACTCATTAAACCTTGAATTAGAAGATCAACGTATTATTCATGATATTTTATGACTACATTTCTCGTCTATGCTTACATCATCTCATATGCTCCTGTGTTCATACCTTGGCACTTGTATCAGCATCCTTCAAGGTACCGTAACACACATGGTCTTAAGACATGATCAAGGCAAGGCGTAGTTTGATAAGTACCAAGCGATATAATGAAACACGAGTTCTCAGGCTCTAAAATGTTCTCCATGAAATATTCCGTATCCTGTGATCACGTAGTTACCGTTACACGCCACATGGCAGCCAGCACGCTGGAGTCAGACTCGTATAGTGTTCCAAGCATGTCACGTTGTTTGCAAGACGTGTATGTTTCTGTTAATAACGAGTTGGCAAACGTTTTATTTTTATTGAAACTGGAACTCATTGACTTTATATACTGATATGTTATTCCGCTCACGGAAGCGTCAGTAATATTAGTGATCTTTTCTTTTTTCTGCACCTTGCTGACAGATACCGTAGATTTTGTCATTTGCCTCGCTTAGTTATGTCGGACCTTCTACCAGTGAGAATACAATAATATAATTGTGTTATCTCGAAACTTAACACCTATCTTATGCAGTTTAACGAATTTATTCTACCACATCCGATTGTAATACAAGGGCGATAACTCTAGATGTTTTTACGTGGTCTGGTTTACGATTCACTAACCATACCGATAAAAAGATTTAGACAAACGGGGGAAAATAGTAAATAGTGTGGACATGATGATTATGATGTCCGCCAACACCAAGGCGTCGAAATGAGGGTTTATGTGATTGTAATAACATCTCGTTATTGAAATCTGCCCGAGTCCACCATGTCCTATATGTATGTGTTCTACATTTTTCAGTACTATACTTGTGTTGATGTGTCAGTAGGTATCTAAGTGGTCTCGTCCCGGATGCATCTGTATGTTTCTAGATTTCTCAGAACCAGGCTTGTGCTTGTGTCTAGATATCGGAGACTGCCCCACACCAAGCTGACATGTTGTGATATAACCAAAATAATGTTCAAACTCACTCACCCGACGATTGGTAACGGTTGCCCGAACACCTGGTGTCATCACTGATAAGCAGTGTTCCACAGTTTTTACCGTTGTTTTGTTTAGGAATCGTGTTCAGCAGATAGTCGAGACTGAGACACATATATGGGCACTATATGCACATCCGAGTACATATACACAAGGGGAAAAATTCGCAACATCCTATATTTTTCATTGCATCAATATGTTACCATTAACCATAACAAGCTTACCTAAACCTCAATTTTACTTAATATCTGGATAAACGGAACCCCAAGGGATAATTAAATGGCAAATCTAAACGCAAAAAGGACATAAACTGTAGTTTATTCAGAGAAACAAACCTGGCAAACATTGACTCATTTTGTAGTGCTGATAACTATGGTCGTTCGACGGTAACAAGGTCGTTTATTTCCAAGGTTCTGGCATACAATATCCTCAAGAAATCACATAAGTTTCATTAACCGAGCACAATGCCAATATCTGGGGTAACCTCCGCCAACTGCAATACCATTCCTGGCCTTCCACCTCATTGACTGTAACAGACATTGAATTTGACGCTGAGGTAATTGCATTCCATTATTGATGGAGGGTTTGTTCCAATACATCAGGATTTTGTACTGAAGGATCTATCTGGGTATTCCGCTGCCAATAATAACCTGAACCACAGGCAAACTGTAGCGCAAACAGGGTTGCGCAACAAAGAGAAAATGACCAGTCTTCGTATATGCGAGCGAAGAGCATATACGAAGACTGGTCATTTTCTCTTTGTTGCGCAACCCTGTTTGCGCTACAGTTTACCTGTGCCTGAACATGCTCTATGGGATGGAGATCTGGACTCCTGGCGGGTCAAGGTAGAGTTGCTACCGTCTTTTGACGTAAGAGATCACTATGTGGTCTAACATTGTCGTCAATGAAGACTGGATTTGTTCAGAGGATGTTCGTCGAAATGTACAACAAACTGTCCAGGATGTCAGGGTTGTACCGTTGTCCATTCAGATTTTGTGTGATCGTCACAAGGTCAAGATTGCAGTCATGCGAGAGGCACTCCACACCACCAGTAGACCCCGCCAAACGGTACTTGCTCCAAGACATTCGTTGTGCATATGCAGTGTTCGGCCATCAGTTATAGCAAACAAATCTATTTTCGTCCAAGCAGGGATACCTTCCCCATGACCTCAAATTTCAGTGACATCGAGCTTGACACCAAGCTAGTCGTGCTGCTTTGTGCTCCAAATGACCACACAAACAGACAAAATTCATATGAGCATTACATGGCTTTGTGGGGGTTAAAAATCATGTGTTACCCTTTTCTATGACTGTGTATATTTCCGTTTTATTGTCGTGGCGCTCCTAATCAAAGTATAAGTAAAACCCTAATATTGTCTTGTCAGTTTCGTGTTTTTAATAATGAATAAAGTATAGTATGTTGGCACTGCTTAGGTTTAAAAATGCTTCCAAGGCAACAATGTTTTGGAATCAATGTCAACGGCGGGTCAAAAGACTGTTCCAGACAAAATGTAATCATTTGAATCCAATCATGCCAATACTCTTTTCTCCAACCTGTTCATTGGATGTATTCAGAGACTTTCAGAAACGTTGTCGTCTCATGGGAACATCCATTACTCCATTGTGACGTCACAATAAAACTGACGTTGGTTCCCCGTCATTAATGGCATAGTTTGTTCGAAACAAACAAGTCAATATTTGATATGATAGACTTCAGTTCATATTCTTTTTGACTGACAAAAACTATTAGAAGGTGTTATCACAAACCGAATACATGGATGTGTATTCGCTGGATGAAATGTTTACTGATACATTAGGTAATGAATATGAAAGTAGTTGATTTATATTAAACTTGTTGTACATCACAATGACCCGTACAAAGTAACACACAGCTGCCTTTGTTAAGTCATACTTTGTGACTCCAATTATTATCTGACATCCTACGTTTTTTTATTGTGTGCTGATAATTGCCTTTTATTATAAAGTTGTCTGCACCTACTGTATTACCTACATTCATTATAAGCATTCGGGCGTGCATTTATTGTGGAAACTATTACAGGTAAATAGGTACTTTGTACGTAATGGTTGAACACAATAGCCTGGGTCTAGTTGCACTCAAGGTGTGTTATACTGGAGAGGGTCAAGTGTGACGCAAGACATTATCTAATTAATAACTAGGATCGCCAAATGCTGATATGACCACAAGTGTACTAGTTGATCATCAGCGATCAGGTAGGTGGAACAGATTTAATTAAGCAGTTTCAGATTTGTGTGCTGCTGTTTCCGGAACCTATAGAACAGTAAACATGTAGAAAGCGCAGGCACCACATCGTGAAAGAGTTTGATGATTTTAGTGATATAAGTGAGTATACGCAATATTCAAGCAACGTAACTGTACTGGAGGGGCGGTGGGGTAGTCCAGTGGTTAAAGCGTTCTCTCGTCACAACGAGACCCGGGTTCGATCCCCCACATGGGTACAATGTGTGGAGCCCATTTATGGTGCCCTCGCCATGATATTGCTGGCATATTGCTAAAAGCGGCGTAAAACAATCTCACTAAATCACTGCACGGGACACCAGGAAAGCGATTCACATATTGTATCCATATTGGGAAAAGAATCCGGGCTCTCGGCGTGACGAGCGAACTCTTAACTCTTAGGATACCAAACTGTCCCGTGTTTGAGGTGTACAATTTGAGCCTGAAGAATTGTTCTACTTTGGATTCGTTGAGCTTGTATTATTCTATGAAGTAAAATTGCTGACTGCTTTAATCGTAGGTTCATCTAGATTCATGTTCACACAAAGGCGTAGTCAATAGGTCACTTGTTAGTGACGTCACCCAGGTCGAAATAATGTCAGGAAACACACGCATCAAACGTACATCAATTGCCACCACATTTCATGTTAATATCAGCACAGGCGCTAATAACAGCCTCGCTTAATATAGTAGTATTTACCTAGTTAGTGCTATACAGAAAGCAACCTTGATCCATATATGATAACAACAAAAACGTGACAGGTCGTATGAATATTCATGAAGTATCTCATCTACATAGGATTCCATAATTCACATTGTTCCACTTAAGCATGAAA